AAAGACGTCCGCTATCGAGCATTTTCCGCGGCCGACAGACAAGAAAGCTGTACGAAGGTTCCTTGGCTTGTGTGCTTACTACAGAAGGTTTGTGAGGAATTTTTCATGCATAGCTGAACTTTTGACGAAGCTAACAAAGGCTGATGTACCATTTCAATGGGAAGCGCTGCAAGAAAAAGCCTTTAAGGACCTCCAGCGTCGTTTACAGTCCCCTCCCATCCTTTCACACTTCGACGAAGATGCCCAAACTGAAATTCATACCGACGCAAGCAGCGTGGGCATAGGCGAGGTCCTTGTCCAGAAAAGCAACGGGTTTGAGAAAGTGATCGCATACGCTAGCCGTTCGCTGTCGAAGGCGGAGAGTAACTATTCAACTACTGAGAAGGAATGTCTCACAATCATTTGGGCGACATCGAAATTCCGTCCTTACATTTACGGACGACCATTCAAGGTTGTGAGTGACCATCACGCCCTCTGCTGGCTAGCAAACTTGAAAGATCCCTCCAGCCGCCTCGCTCGATGGAGTCTTCGTCTCCAGGAATTTGATGTCACCGTAACATACAAGTCTGGGAGGAAGCATTCAGACGCAGACTGCTTGTCAAGGGCCCCTGTCGATGAAGCCCCAAAAAACGACGACGACGATGACAGCTTCCTTGGATCTATCAGTAGCACCACTTTTGCGCAACAGCAACACGCGGAACCTGACCTCAAGCGTCTCCATGAATACATGGAAGGCAAAACTTCATCACCCCCTGCATCATTTAAGCGCGGACTCTCATCCTTCTGTTTTCAAAACGGCATCATCGTAAAGAAGAACTATGCGCCCAATAAGACTACGTATCTTATTGTCGTTCCCAGCAGCCTTCGAGAAGAAATTCTACAGGCTTCCCACGAACCGACTGCTGGACACCTTGGATATGCGCGCACTCTTCGCCGAATCCAAGAGAAATTCTACTGGCCACGACTGCCCACCGACGTGGCGCGGTACGTAAAGACTTGCCGTGAATGCCAACGAAGAAAGAGGCCACCGACCAGGCCAGCCGGGCTGCTGAACCCCATACCACCCCCAGCAAAGCCTTTCCAACAGATTGGAATCGACCTTCTCGGTCCCTTTCCGACATCAACTTCTGGCAATAGAATGATAATCGTAGCAACTGACTACCTCACCCGTTATGCCGAAGCAAAAGTCTTGCCGAACGGAACAGCAGAGGAGGTCGCAAAGTTTTTTGTCAACTGCATCCTGTTGGGACATGGTGCCCCCGAGGTCCTCGTCACGGACAGGGGAACAGCGTTCACGGCAGAGCTAATGCAAGCTATCCTGCACCACAGTCAAACCAGCCACCGGAAGACTACTGCGTATCATCCGCAGACAAACGGCCTTGTGGAACGGCTGAACAAAAATATTGCTGACATGCTTGCCATGTATTGATTGATTGATATGTGGGGTTTAACGTCCCAAAACCACTATATGATTATGAGAGACGCCGTAGTGGAGGGCTCCGGAAATTTAGACCACCTGGGGTTCTTTAACGTGCACCCAAATCTGAGCACACGGGCCTACAACATTTCCGCCTCCATCGGAAATGCAGCCGCCGCAGCCGGGATTCGAACCCGCGCCCTGCGGGTCAGCAGCCGAGTACCTTAGCCACTAGACCACCGCGGCGGGGCTGCTTGCCATGTATGTCGATGCAGAACACAAAACCTGGGACAGCATCCTTCCATTCGTCGTATTTGCCTATAACATCGCAATACAAGAGACCACACGCATGACGCCTTTTAGCCTCGTCTACGGTAGAGAGGCAGCTACAACGTTGGACACCATGCTCGCAGATGTCACAGAAGAGAACCACAACGTCGCCATTTACCTTCAACGTGCCAAACAAGCCCGACAACTTGCACGCCTGCGGATTAAGGAACAGCAGTCCATCGACGCTCAACGCTACAACTTACGCCGCCGCCATACGGATTACAAACCCGGTGACCGCGTGTGGATTCGAACCCCCATTCGCCGCCGAGGACTCAGCGAAAAGTCGTTGTGCCGTTATTTTGGACCTTACAAGGTCATACGTCACATTAGTGAACTGGACTATGAAGTTGTCCCCGATGGCGCGACAACATCGCAACGGCGCCGTGCTAACCCAGAACTTGTGCATGTCGTGCGCTTTAAACCTTATTACACGCGGTAATAGACCTTACAGTTTGCAATGTCAACTGCCAATTTTGATCTTCATTTTTGTTCTCGTGTGTTCTTATGACACTGTTCTCGGTTTTTAATGTTTGCTCTTTTAAGCATCGAGCCGATGCTTATTTAAAAGGGGAGTAATGCCGCAATCACTTGCCATCCTTATCGCTTTGCTTGTGACGCACGTGGCTAGTGTGTATCTGCGCTCCATCATGAAGGCGTGATCCGTGAACTTATCTTCGTGCCGCGTTTTATCGGAAAACCCCCCTCGCAAATAAGCCGAGGGCAGCCTTGGGCACCGGTGTAGTAGTTCGCCATCTGTACGGCGGTTCACTTGTTTCTTTCGGGCGCAGGTCAGCCCAGTGAAATAAAAGATTGTTGCGGCTTGCTCCCGATCCTGTCGTGCACGTTCCTTCATCGTCGCGGCTGCGTGACAATATATATATATATATATATACATATATAAGAGAAAGAAATCTATACCTAAGGGTTCGTTTTTCTGTGTTTTGACACAATATTAATGAAATCAAACAGACAATAATGCTAAAGAATGTATGGGGGAAGTTATTAAAACCAATATAAAGTAAATAAGAAGAAAAGTGAGTGAAAAAAAACTTGCTGTGATATATACATATATATATGTGTTGAAAAACAACATACAAACGTGCGAAAATCCTTATTACTTCCTACGCTTTGGCAGGAGGACCTGCCTTCATCAGGGAATATATGTATGTATGTATATAAGTATATATATTTATTTATCAGCTGAACGGCCTGCCAATGTCTATGTTGGCTGTCCTAAAGAGATTTGACGAACTACCTTTGTACATTCAATGTACGTCCGTCGGACATACACTGTACATTTGTGGACAACTGATGGATGTCCGGAATATCCAAAAATGTATGTCTCGTCGTATGCCTACCAGTTAGCCGTGGTTACTTGGGATCTAACAGCAACATTTTACTTTCCCGAATAAACACTAATTAAGAAAAATTCAAAGCTTTTTTTATTCACTGCTATTCAATACTAGAATATATTGTCATAAGATATTAAAGCCTGCTGCACAACCATGTTAAAAAAAACACATGAAGACACACCTACTAACAACATTGCTCGCAATCGATTCATTGTGATTATATACCTATAAACATAAACTATTTTTATGGAATGCATAGTCAACTTTGTGCCAAATTCACAACCACACAGAGGAAGGAAACACATAGACAGCATGGGCACTGGTATATTAGGATCCTTGGAAGAAGTAAAAGCAAGTTATCACAAAAAATTTTGGAGGCCGATCACATAAAAAAAAAAACGGGGCAACAATTGTTTTAGCAAAACCTCCCTCAACCTGTATGAGTCGGAAGCACGTTACTTAGAGAGCATGTGTCTGATAGCATGATTAGGCATTTTATGGCCCACTCATGTTGCGCATGTATTGGCGAGAACTGGGTATATAATAGTCTGTTTCCTCAAGGAATAAACAGTTGTAAGTGAGCGCCCATGCTGTCTATGTGTTTTCTGCCTCTATGTGCTTGTGAATTTGGCGCGAAGTTGACACGGACCAACTAGCCAAACAGCCAGTTCTTCCAGAATAAACCATATCCGTCAGTTAACTATAATAACTCTTCTAGAATGTATCACAGCATTGTGCTGAACGTTTTTTCCCCATTTGTTTTAGTTTCTTGTTTCTAGAAATTTATGATTTTATGTCGTTAAAGACAGTTTCAAGCATGTGTTATTTACTTAACTATCAAATTTACACCATGTTATTGATAAACCCTTATTTGCGTATGTAAAATGTGTGACTGGTGTCGTCTACGACATAACACTGCCTTGTGGGAAATTTTACGTAGGACATGGGGGCATTGCGTGAACGACCGTACAAGGAAACATGAACTTTCATTTAACAATAAAGGGAACGCGCATTTGCCCGTGCGTTGCCAAGCTTGCATGTGCTCACAGACTTTCAGAGAGATGAACATTTTGGGTAGAAGCGGTGATACCACAGCCCGCAAACTGATGAAAGCCTTTTATATTTCGACATTTTAATATCTCTATTTGATAGTGAGCATTATTTCTTGCACGGCCTGCTGTAAGCTGTTTGGTTTTCTCCATGTGACCACTTGAATTTTTTCTTTCATGACTATATACTTGAAGGGTGATGAATAATAAAATTCAATTGAAAGTTCGCACTTGTCCCTGTCGCATATTTTGTGTGTCGTCATTATTTGCCAATACCAGTTTACCTTTAGATATATAAATTATGCTAATTATAACTTTTGTCAATTATAATGAGTTCTGCATTATTATTTGTTAGTCAATTACTTTTAATGTAAAGACTTATCTTTCGTTGTTTTTTTTTATCATCGTTCTTTTTCCTACATGCCCTGCCTTTTTATCGTACATCTTTTTTTTACTTTTGAACTACTTCTTGCCATTACATACAATTTTATTGTTATTGACAAATGATTAATGGGATGTCTCAATAACAGTTTTGTAACATTGCGACCTCCTTCTGTACTAATTGTAAATAAAGAATTGATTCCATAAGTTGTCTGCTACCAAATATTAATTACCAACTAGCATACCTATTACTCCTTTTGTAATTAAATATACTCCAACAGTAAAAAACACCTAAGTAATAATGCCTGTAGGTTCTTTCCAAAGCCCTCCCCGGGTAACAAATTTATCTATTGAAAAAAATAGAAAGCTAGGTGCACACTTTGAAGTAAGAAGCTGCAATCTCCTCACAGTCTTTTTTCCTAACTGGATTACGTCTCCTGCTTCATGCCAAGAGGGATTAAAGGCCCCTACCAGACTTTTTGAAGAGCTTGTGCAGCACGTAGTCATCCTGCTTCTGGCTCTGCTCTGCAGTGACTTCTGGCTTAAACACAGCTTGCTTCACCACACCACTGATGTTCTCGCCTTCCACCACTGCACAACATCAACAGGACAGTGGGTGACAACGAAGCTTTGGACAAGAAGGAGACCACCACACCCACTGCTTGTCCCCTTTGCAAGTTAGTTGATGGTGGGCTACTTCATCATGACCTCTTGGCAGCGCAAACGAACGGCGCAAAGTGCTTGCTTGTGTACCTATTTACTTAGTCCAATTTGTTTGCACTGCCACATTGTCACGATGAGGTGTCATCATTGCCCCAATAAGTCCGAAATGCACTGTTTCATCATCTGATATAATAAACAACAAAATCGCCAGCAATTTTTTTCAGGGGTATTTATTTGTAAAATAACTAACTTTGGCAACTAGAAGTCAAGTGAAGGCGCCTATATATTTCAGTATAACCCAAAACGCTCAAGCATGCAAAATTTCAAACAGGGGGGGGGGGGGGGGGTCGGCCTTTGAAGATAGTATACACAGTATACACAGCTAAGCAATCGAGGCTCCTTTTATGATGCCTAGCAAGAATGAACTGAGATGGTAAAGCGCTACTAAAAAGTTACGCACACTTATGAAGAACAAAGACAAAGAAGAAGGCACTAATCCTATGTTCTCTCTTTCTTTTCCATGATTCATCCTCATGAACCTATACCAACTATTCTAAATAAATGATTTACAACTCTAAACTCATTTCTAAATTTTTGTGAATGAGGTTTTCATGACTGAAAAAAAAAAAAGCGGACTCAGCCATTTACTGAAGATAATGTTGGTGTTCTAACAGCTCTGTTTTTGTGCACCTTCTTGTAGTCTGTGTTCACAAGCACTACTTTTTTCAGAATAATAGAAATTTTATTAAGTGTTGTTGTTTAAAGGAGTCGTGAAGCACCCTTTGCACTTCTTGTTGAAAAAACACATCCTGCAAAGAGTTATTTAAATAAAGAAACTGAAAATTTCAAACTATTTTGAATGAACAAACAGATGTATATTATTCTGCCTGTAGCCCCCTGTAAAGCTGCTTACACTACTGTAGAGCGGTGGTAAGCCGTGAAAACAACTCTTTAAATAACATTTGTACTGCCACGAAGCCCAACTTCACGGCTGAATGAGCATATTAGCCTCACACTGATTCATCATATTTTCCAAGTTTAAAAGCTTGTTATACCGGCTTACACGCATAAGTATACTAAATTCTAGAATGTAATGTATTTTACAGGTTATCACTTGCAATTGAAAGTCAAATCCAACTACAGTTAAACCTAGATAGGTATAAGAAAATTGGCTAATTCAACATAAACCTCGTTATAGGCAGGATTTTATTCCATGCATGTTTAATACGAAAATGATAAAAAAATGCACAAACTAAACAAAAAAGGAACTGAAGGTAGAGCTCACCCAAAACATTTATTTAGAGGTAAAAACTGCATTATTCTGGTAATAGCAACTATAAGACACTCTCAATGGGTTGTTGCCATCACTATTGCCACTAGTACAAGTTCTGAAAGTATTATTTCCACATATGCTGGCAGGCTTGTATGTGCCGCTGTTCAGAAGAGGACGAAAATGCGCGTGGAGAGAAAGACAATCGTCATATTGCCGTTGTTCGAATCAGTTTGACGTCTTTGTGTGCCATTATCTGCAGGTTACAATTACGGTATAACGTGACACTGGTGGAGGTGCTGGGTAATAGTCTATGCACTGTTACCACGACGAAGATCTCGGCCCCAACATCGACGCCTTGGTAGAAACAGCCAACCTTCGACGCAGTCGGCGGCAACTAGGCCTACCATCCCAATTCAGCCCTCTTCCGGAACGCTCCAGAACCATGGCAAGTGCGACAATTGCAAGCCAAACTGAACAGACCGCGACTCCACCAGCTCCATGGCCACCAGTCTCTCGAACCCCAAAAACTCTTCCATGGGGAGCCCTACGAAGACGTTGAAGACTGGCTGGACCAATACCATCGAGTCGCCGTCGCCAAAGAGTGGGACGAGCACCGGAAACTGTGGTATGTCTATTTCTACCTGGAGGATTCGGTGCGTATTTGGTTCGAGAACCACGAGGCCACCCTGACAACCTGGCCGGTGTTTTGCACTCAGCTGCGGAACACGTATGGTAGCGCCAACCGGACAGAACAAGCCGAACTTCTCCTCAATTCTCGCAATTAAAGACCAAACGAAAGCGCGGCCATGTTCGTTGAGGAAATGTCTCATCTGTTCCGTCGAACGGATTCTGCAATGACGAAAGACAAAAAGGTACGCATTCTTATGCGGGGTGTCAAGGAGCAGCTGTTTGCAGGACTTGTACAAAACCCACCAGCTACCGTAGCGGAATTCCTCCGTGAAGCAACGACAATGGAGCGAATGCTAAGATAGCGGTCTTCGCAGTATGAGTGGTCCGACAACCTTGCATGTCTGTCAGCACCCTTGGTAACACCCGATGTCATGAGCGTGAGAGACCTTGCTTAGCTAGTTCGTAGCATTGTACGCGACGAGCTGCAAAAGCTTCACGCAGTGCCTTCACAGCCTCAAGTGGCTGCTCTGACATACGTCATCCGTGAAGAGGTGCGGCAGTTGGTACGACCATTAGCGCCACCTCCAACCGAAGCTCCTCTGCTAACGTACGCGGAAGCTGTACGCACTCCTGCACTGGCAGCCAGCTATATCCCCCGACCGACTAGCCTGCAGACGCCACAGTACTTCTCCGGCGAGCCACGCTATGAAAACCAACGACCGACCAGCCTGCCGACGCCGCAGCACTTCTCGGGCCTGCCGCACTACGAAAACCAACGACCGACTTGCCTGCAGATGCCGCAGTACTTCTCGGGCCCGCCACACTATGAGAATCCGCGACCCAATTTGCAGAAATCTAGCGTGTGGCGTGCTTCCGACAATCGGCCACTATGCTACCACTGTGGTGAGCCAGGTCACTTGTACCGGGAGTGCTCGTACAGACAGATGGGCCTACCTGGATTTCGGCCAGACGCTCGTCAGCCCAGAGACGGCAAACGACCCCGCGCCATTGCAGAATACTTGGCAAGTTTATCGTCTCTGAATCTTCAGCGACGCCAATCACGCTCTCCATCTCCTCGACACTCTACGTCCGCGAATCAATACTCCACTTTCGCCGATGTTGTTGCGGGACGATCCGCTAGGTCCCCAAGTCCACGCCGGGGAAACTAGAATCCGCAGTCTCTGGGGGTGGGACCGCTGTTAAGCTATCGTCAAAACAGCCTCCTCCGACCCATCCGCCGACCTTCGACGATTCCTTTCAGCCGACACCTCACATCGCTGACGAACCCGTTTCTGCTGACATTGCCGTTCGTGTCGACAACCATCCAGTGACTGCTCTGGTCGATACCGGTTCCGACTACTCAGTTATCAGTGCTGAACTTGAGGCTGAACTCAGAGAAGTCACGACTCCTTGGGGGCATGGACCGAACCTTCGGACAGCCGGTGGTCATCTCTTGACACCAATCGGGAGATGCACCGCAAGGCTGCAAATCTGTGAGTCGACGTTCATTGCTTCTTTTGTTGTGCTTCCCGAATGCTCCCGGAAGTTATTCTTGGCATGGATTTCCTTCGTGAGCACGGCGCTGCTATAAATCTTCGAGACTGCCTCGTAATGTTTGCTGACGACTATGGCCCGAAGCCTAGAGATACCGATCCGCATGCGCTTCGCATTGTCGACGACACCGTCTCACTTCCGCCACGCACCGGTATGTTCGTTACCATACAGGGCGACATAGACCATGACAGTAGTAGTATTGCTGAAGCCAACCTTTCGGTGCTCTTGTCTCAGCAAATATGCGTTGCCCGCGGCATAATTCAATTTAAATGCGGTGTGACTGAGTTGTTGGTCACCAATTTCAGTGGAGCATATCAACATTTGGCCAAGGGAACAACTATCGCTCATTTCGAATCCATTGACAATGAAGCGTGTACGACGATACCCCCAATTTCTGCAGCCGCTGAAAGTGACACCGCGGTAGCCGATGCAGTCGATGTCAATCCGAAGCTGTCATGTGCGCAGAAAGAGCAAATCCGCTGTATCCTCCGCATGTTTAGCGACTGTTTCACGTCTACATCCAAGATAAAACAAACGCCAACCGTAAAGCATCGCATCGTCACTGACCATGCTGAGCGACCCATACGTCAGCACGCCTACCGAGTATCACAAAAGCAACAAGAGGCTATACGTTCTCAAGTGAAGTAGATGCTCGAAGATGGCGTAATCCAATCCTCGAACAGTCCTTGGTCGTCCCCCATCGTACTAGTAAAAAAGAAGGACGGCACTCTCCGATTTTGCGTTGATTACCGCAAACTCAACAAAGTCACAAAGAAAGATGTTTATCCGCTTCCGCGCATCAACAACTCACTCGACCGCCTCCGACACGCCCGATACTTCTCCTCTATGGATTTACGCAGTGGCTACTGGCAGATCGAAGTTGATGAACGCGACAGAGAGAAAACAGGATTCATAACGCCTGATGGTCTGTACGAATTCAAAGTGCTGCCCTTCGGTCTGTGTTCTGCCCCTGCAACATTCCAGAGGATGATGGATACAGTGCTCTCCGGTCTCAAGTGGGAAGCATGCCTTATTACTTAGACGACGTCGTTGTCTTCTCCCAAACATTTGAGCAGCACTTACAGCGACTTAGATTTGTTTTTGCTGCAATTCGCATGGCAGGACTATCACTGAAACCAGAAAAATGTCATTTTGGTTACAACGAATTAAAGTTCCTCGGCCACCTTGTTAGCCCTGATGATATTCGGCTGCACCCAGACAAAACATTGGCTGTCGCAGATTTTCCACCACCTACCAACAAACGTGATGTGCGTCGATTTTTAGGCCTCTGCGCATACTACAGACACTTAGTGCAAAATTTCGCAAACATTGCCGAACCCCTCACTTGTCTGACAAAAGACGACGTTCTCTTCGTGTGGGGCCTTGAGCAAACACGCGCTTTCTCCGAGCTCCAGCAGCGTCTCCAGTGTGAGCCCTTACTCGGACACTACGACGAATATGCCGACACTGA